AAGCAGGTCAGCTCACAAGTGCGGAAAATTGATTTATCAAACTCACAACCATCCAACACTAGTTGAAAAGGTGGGGGTCCTCAGCCCTTCACTACACAACACTGCAGTGGCGGGTTTACTTCAAAGCCACGGGGACTCTTCCTTCCAAATCTCTGCAGCATCCAGTCCTAAAGCTCAGAAACCACGCACCTCGTATTAGCACACCTTGCATGCAAAAAATGACGGCCAGGCCAGGCCAGCACCGACATCAACATGGCTGCGCAATGCAGCTGAGAGCGTGGCCGTACAGTACTAAAGGCTATACGAACCCCCTTCGCTGTCCGTACAGGAGCCCGTACAGGACCCTTCGGGACAAAGTACGACCGTCCACAACACAAAGACATCTCACCTGCAGCTCCCATCCACTATGTTCCATCCGCTGTACACACCCACAAACCACTCTTAACTACCACTACACGACCGCCGTCCGTCTTCCACCGCGGCCATTCCGCCGTTACCCCCTATTAATGTCCGGCTTCCCCTCCTCACCCCCCTCCTGCACTGCTCCCGAAGGCTGCCGGGGCCGCCATCTCCATGCCGAGATCGGTCCGGATATAGAGGTAACCACATCCACCATAGCCCCCTCTTGACCCGCTACAGCGCGCATGTTGTAACGGCTGCTACGGCACCAGCTGGCACATATGGCCGGAGCTTCTCCTGTGTTTCTTGCTGATTCTCATGCTGCGGATGTGGCCGCGGTTGCTGTTGCATCTGCGGTTGCATCTGCGGTTGGCTGCATCTGTGGTTGCACCTGCGGCTGCATCTGCGGTTGCATCTGCGGTTGCATCTGCGGCTGCATCTGCGGTTGCATCTGCGGCTGCATCTGCGGTTGCATCTGCGGCTGCATCTGCGGTTGCATCTGCGGCTGCATCTGCGGTTGCATCTGCGGCTGCATCTGCAGTTGTGCTTGCGGTTGCATCTGCGGTTGTGGTGGTGCTATAGTTTGCGGCTGCAATGGGCCGCCCTCGCCACATGCCGCCAAAGGACAAGGTTGTGGGGAACTCCTGCTCCTGCTCCTGCTCCTGCAGCGGAGACGACCATCTGCCAGGCGCCTCCCGCCGCCGTGCCGTACAGGATTCTCCGCACGTTTCCTTCTTTCTGCTGGCTGCCTGGCGGCTCCCGTAGCCCCACTGCTGCCGCCGCCCACGCCAGGGCCTTTGCCGCTGTGAAACGGTGATTGTAAAAGCCCTTAGAGCAGGGCGTGAAGGGAAAGCACTCAAAGCGAGGCGTGAAGCGAAGCGAAGCTTGAAGGGAGAGCCCTTGGCGCAGCGTGTGAAAGGAAAGCCCGTGATGATGGATGCGGCGGGAAATGTCGTGATGCAGTGATGCCTGTGTCGGTGACTGTGTCTGGGTGCATATCCCTCCTACGACATGGGGGCCCGGTCCGCCCCATGGGGGCTTCAGTGGGTTCAAGTCCCACATTGATCGAGTTACGTGGTTCCGCCTGGCTAATTCCATGTTTTCTGTGCTTTCCCCTTGCCGATTGGATGAACATGTTGACAGCGGGATATGTCACACGGTTGTTTTGCATAGGATTTTTCACATGTTACACAACATGCTTCACAACAGCATGCTTCAAAATATGCTTCAAAACAACTATCTTCAGTATGGTTTCAATGATCAATGTGTTCCACTTTGTACCAGCAGATTATTGCTCCGATCAATCTTAGATCTGCCATGGATATGTGGAAGGAGCGATTTCAAGATGACTGGCAGAACCCACGCCTTATTACAACACCCCGGGGATTTGTGTCGGACGGACAGCCGTAAACCAGGGGTTAAGATGTGCTGCGGCGTACCCATTGGGTGGGAACGCCGAAACACACGACGTGCTACATCCCTGCGAAGTCATATACTGGATTGTCACGGGTGCGGTTTCGCTTAGGGGCATGGCCTTTGGAGTTTAGCTGACCTGGCGGTCGGTCGCGCCAAGAGCGCTGGAGTAGGGGCAGGCTCATGAGGACCTGGACAGGTTTCAACAGCCAGCACCCGCATAGCGAATGCTGTACGACAGGGACACGCAAGAATCCGCAAGAATCCACATTCGCGATATTTGCCTTCACTCTGGCACCGGGGTCGCCTTGTATACCTCCCTGCCCGCTGGTTTATGGGAACCGCTATCCATCGTATTGGAACCACATCAGGTGTTTGTCAACACCTCTTTTTGGCATTTGTGTTTTGTCATGCAACAACCCCGCTATGGTCGCTCAACAGGATTGTTTACCGGTGCCGTGTCTGGTAGGTATCCCCAATCCGCACAGTAGGTGCATGACGCCGGTGGCGAGGGGGCCACCGAGTGGTGCTCGGATTCGGAGGCAGAATCGGAGGTTGGGGGTTAGCGGATCCGGAGGTGATCCGTTACGGCGCCATGCTGGTGGTGTTGAACACCGCCACGACAGTGGCAGCGCCGAAAGGCAGTGGCTAGGGTGGCAGTTGCAGCGACAGCAGAAAGCGGAGCAACCCATGGGGCGCACTCCCTGGGGCACGCCCCGTGCGGGTTGCGGCCAACACGGCCAACACAAGGAAACACCCATCTGTGGTTGCAGGGATAATCGCACACAGGACAAGATGGGCGGCAAACGGCACTAATACGGCAGTTGTGGGTATGCTCGTTCTGGAACTGCATGCGTTACCGCCTGCTCGATGCCATCATCAAACACTTACAGCGCCACAAAAATGGCCTCCCGTTCCGTGCTGGTGGTGGTGGTAAAGGCAGTTGCAGCTGCCGCCAGGTCGCCTTTGTCAGCCTCACCATCGGTCCAGCCGTACGGGGCCAACAGGCCCATGGGGACCTCTCCCATGTTTGGTGTTCAGCACGTTGTGTTGCTTGGTGTTGTTCCGGCCATGTCCTCGATTTCCGAGTGATTTTGCGGAATCATCATGGCATGTGGTCCTTGGGTCAAGGCAAATACCGGCAACAACAGGAAAACGTGTCTGAGCGCGCGCGTCTCGTTACTTGACTGCCCCGTGAAGGCGCAACCCGCCCGCCATGAAGCCGTGTTGCCACCCCCCTCTCATTCCACCACATCTAGCCCGCCCACCACGACACCGTGTCTGCCAGTTCCCCGGCGGGATATGGGCGGGACGTTAAGGTAAACAACCACGAGGTACCCAAGTGGCCGCAAGGAAACGGAGATAATGACACGTACACAAGACGTAATCACCCTAGTACGGCAAACACGGAGCCATCGCTATCCTAGCTGCTAATGCTTTGGGCCAGCTCTATTTGCTACCAGCATTGCCGCAGGGGTGACGAGGGCATGGTAGGATAGAGCATCGCTGGCATGCCTGGTTCGTTGGTCAGTGCCACGGATTACAGATGTTGGTTTGGTTTCGGGGCTCTGGCAAAAGCAACGAGTCAGTGTGTCATTGTACAAGGAGTAGGTGTCCGTGTTTGGGTTTTCAAGCGGCCGCAGCATCAGTGGTAACCTTTACCTTCGTAAAGGCGGGTTGCATCGTGCTCTCTGCGCTTTGTGCATATGCATAGAACCCCAAAACACGGGCTAATGTTTTACACCCCTACACTGACTAGCGCAGCAGCAGACCTCGTGAATGAGGGTTCTACCTTCTTCCCCGAGGCTTAGGATTTACAAGCTACGTACATCAAAGATTCCCAAGCACCTGTTGTTGCCATCGTCTCACTGTCCAACAGAGCTTCCCTTCACGGCGCTTTAGCCTAGTAGCGAGGTCGAAAGGTTGTGCACACAAACATGTAATAAGACATTCGCCATATTTAAGTAGGTAAGATGTATGGCATGTCGTACACCGCTACCATACACATAAACCGTTTTCCGTCGTAGCACCCCAACTGCCGTACGAAAGATGTACCACGCCCACCACCACAACAACCTTCACACGTATCTCACAATGTGATAACCGTGGTACTCATCAACTAGGACAGAAATCCCAAGGGCTCCGGAGCCTCGTGCGACCCAGTTCCAGATTACCAAAACCGCGTGTTGTGGCTGTCCAGTAGATTTGGACTGAGTGCACAGCCTTACACCAAGAACCATGCGGGACTCGGAAATTGCCTTGCCGCCACGAGGCAGGTAGGGAGCATGTGCGATTTCCAATCATTTTCTCTGTGCCGTAACAATTTGCTCCTCCCTCGACCTGCATCACATGCTGGCCTCCTCCCCCTCCTCCCCCTCCACATAATAGGCTCTTCCCTCCCTCGCCCTGCACCACGGCCCTCTCTCCTCCCCCTCCACATGTTAGGCTCTTCCCTCCCTCGCCCTGCACCACCACGGGCTCCGTTACACCGCCTCCTTTCCAGGGCTCGGGGACCCGTCAACTCCAACCCACCGGGAGCAACCGGGTGCCAAATGGATAAGTAGATGGATGGCGATGGTGACGACGACGATGGCGATGGTGAAAACCTAGTCTACTATACCCTATAAAATATTCAGAGATTTTCCAATGCGTTTAAACGCGGAGTTTTTGAGGATTTGAAAGGGTACTAAGAAAACATGTCAACTGCTTTGCACCCTGGCAGGCGGCGGCTGTGAAGTATCACCATCATCACCATCACCACCATCATCACCATCATCACCATCACCACCATCACCACCATCACCACCATCATCGCCATCACCACCATCACCATCAGTCGATTTACCTCCATCCATCTTGTTAGAACCATTTCTACTGTGGCAGTCAGACTGTCGGAAGGCCGTTTGGTGGCTGGATAACTAACGCTTTTCCCAGCCGCGGCTGCTATGCTTGCATCCTTCAGACGGCGGGCAGCTAGACACCCCTACCCCTCCCGCCCAAGGCCCTAAAAAGCGGTAGCACCACCTTGGGCTGGCGGTTGTGTTGTCAGTGTCCGGTGTGTTTGACTGTTGGCCCTTTGGTGTGCACCCCTTGGCTCCGGGTTATAGGAGTCGCCTCGGGTGCCTCGAGAGCTCCGACTGCTGGCACGTGCGCACGGGAAATACCATGCAAATCCGTACTCGGCAAACATGGCCCTGGCGGTGTTGCTGAGGAGGAGGAGCCACCGAAACGTTTGTGGGTACAGGTGAGGTGAAGACAGTGCGGCGGTGGCGGTGGCGGCTCTGGAACTAGTGGCGATGGAGGATTCGCTGGACTCGGAATGGTCCCCTTTAGGGGCAGGGTGGTAATGCTTTTTGTTCCCATCCGCTGGCGGCTGTTGTGGTTCGATCCGCACAGGGATCGCGGATATCGCGGCGCCTCTGACTGCTCTCGGCCCGGGGCAGCGGCCGCTCATTCATATGTTTCACTGCCCGAGCCGTGTGCCCGAGCTTTGTCGGCGGAGCGTTGCTGCCGTGGAGGGTCCGTGGCGATGTTTTCACTTAACTGAGTTTGGTTAAGGAGTTTGCGCGAAGCGAGGCTGCGCGTGACAGCTGCAGCGGCGTTCCCAGAGCTTCCTGATCAAGATGCAGGCAGCGAGCACGGTTTCAAGGCTGGAAATCTGTTGGCAGTATAAAACGGCCGCATAATCGTCCTACCTACCTACCTACCTACCTACCTGGCCTACGGAAATACATTCGTTCGCACGCTCTTGTTCCGTCGTGCTCCTGGGTTCAGCTGCAGTTGGCGAGGGTCCTGACGTGTAAAGCCCCCCAAAGGGGCTAGCTTGTGTTTTGCTAATTCATAGGACAGAGGGTGCTGGCCGGGGGCAACCTATCAGAGGTGGCTACCTATCAGGGTTAGCAGGAGTGTTTTACGATCATTCGAAAGTTCTCCTGAAGGCGATGAAGAAGGAGAAGGCGGAACACTACAGGTACAGGTAGAGGAAAGCTGTACATGTGCTGTACATCCCGAAGCCCAGCGAGGTTGTGGACCTTAGTTACAAAAGGTGTGCGAGTATTAATGGGCTAGGAAGCAGCAGAACGCCGTTCTGGGCTATGGAGGTGCATTGGTTCAATTGGGCGTGCGGCGGCATACATTTAAGGACAGGGTGGTACACCTACGGCGGCATACATTTCAGGACGGTGCGTTGCCTGCCGGCAGTCAATTACGATAATTATGGGAAGAGCCCACGTAGATGTAACGGAAGAAGGTGGCATTGTGTGGATGTTTTTTATTATTACTGTGTCAGGGTTGCACTGGGAAAACCTGAATTGTTAACTTTACTGTTGCCGAGCCCCCTCATCAAAGAAGACGTCATCGGTAAGCGTCCTTACGATATGGGACTACTACGACACAAGAATTGTGGCGCTTACGCAGCGAAACCTAGCTCGTGAAAATTTCCGCAGTTGACAGACACATCAGCGGTGAGTTTGTGTTCCTCCGCTGATGCGGATGGGGTTGTCCTGTGTGATCTCCGTCGGCACAGCTAGCACGTAAAAAGTTAGCCTTAGTCGTTTAGGTTCATACGACTGTGGCTACCAGATACCAATAGCAAATTACGGAGACCAATGCTCGCTTTGTTCCTTGTTCCCGCGCAAACTTACTACGCATGTGCCCTTTGGCGGGCTAATTTCCAGGTTGGCGGTGCACGTGATTTGTTTGCAGGGACGCTCCATATTAGCCACTCCTGCAACCTCAAAATCATGGCTCTTCAACCTAATCGCAAATTGTGGGATTGTTATGTCATCCAATTTGCTAATCGTGACCTCTGGCTATCTTCTTCCTACCCCACTATTTTGCAAAACTCAGGTTTAACGTGGTATTGATTGCAGATGGCAAGCTCATATAGATACGGAGCATCCATGTTATTATCGACAACAATTCAGGAAGAGGAGGAGGAAGACATCAATGACAGCACCACATCCTGCGCGGGTGCCAAGCCTCAGCCCGCCCTGGCGCATAATATTGCTGGGCAAGATCGCTGCTACTCCGAAAACAGTGATGAGCAAAGAGAGTCCATTAGCCACGGTGCAGTCAAGGACCGTCCGTTGTCCCGTTTCGCGGCGTGTGCAGTTGCGAGCATCGCAACGGCAACCTCAAAGCTGGTGAACCGAATTATGCACGTCCATCGAAGGAGAAGCCCGCATGTCCTACACAGCCATCGCTGCCGGGACGAGATGAAGGCCGTTAACGTGGTCAAGGTCAATTATGGGCATAAAGCCCAAGACGACTGCTCAGCCAGCAACAGTCGTGGCCGCAGCCGACGGGGGACTTGCAGCTTCCCTGGACCAATGAACCCGGTCGCGGACGGGCCGTCAGGCAAGGCAAAGCAGCTGCAGTCAGGCAGCGAAAAGCTCTACGCGCAGCGACAATTACAGGACTGCCAACACCGGGCAGACAGCGCTTCCGAGCAGCGCGGTCGGCACCTGGTTCGGTTGATGGAGGGCGACGACGTCCGCCTGGCCATGCAGGCGCTGCAGCTCGCGGCCCAGATCCACGACCAGATTTGGGGACAGCGTGGGGCCGACGCCGGGGACGAAGAACCCCCGGGACGCCGACAAGAGGCGCTGCTCGAGGCGGCCAGCCCTCTGTACGACACAGCCATGGCGGCAGCCCGCGCCATACAGCACCGTGCCCTACATTCTTTGGTCAAACAGGCCGTACGGCGTTATGTCAATCCGTTCCGCGGCTCGCCGGACGACGTCCTGAGGGTCATCCTGGAGTTGCTGACGGGATGCGGCGGCGGAGCCGCTGCAGCGCCGGTGTTGCTGCCATCAGGAAAGGCAGCAGCAGCGGCAGCAGCAGCAGCGGCAGCAGGAAACCGAGTAACATCTCGCTGCCTGAGCGACGTCGGCAGCGGCAACAGGGGCTGCTTTAGGGAAAGTACCCCCGAGCATGGATGGCAACCATCGTCGCAATCATCATCTCCCTCTTTGGACCACAGCGATGGCCTCTCTATGGTTAGCAGTAGCAGCAGCAGCAGCAGCCGGCGCAGCCCCAACTGCCGCCACCAGCGCGTCAGCTTCGGGAGCAGCCCAGGCAGCCGGTACAGTGCTCGGAGCAGTTTGGACAGCAACGGCAGTCGCGATTCATCCTCCCTTGGGGTGCGCTTGGGCAACGGAACTGATTGAGGGCTCCGTGCCCTTCGCTCCCATTGAAAAAGCATTTCCGTTCCGGTTTTTTTTTGTTAATTTGGTCGTTTCCGCCCAATCCTCTGCTACGCTTTTTCAGGCAGCATCGTTGTCCCATTAGTTGTTGCACTCGGCTGTGCTTCAGCATCTTCAGCTTTCTGTAAATCATTCCAAAAGCTGTTGTTGAGTTTCTTCGGTACATATCTCGGCAAACGTAGTTCGCAGGTTCTCCGCACCTAGCGCGGAATGGGGCCGCAACGTCCCAGTCCATGTCCTGGGTTTGGGCCTCAGTCAATGTCACTCGTAGCTGTGGTGGTGAACTGTGGTGATCGTTCGCGCTTTCCAATCGCGATTCCGTCTAAGGAGGCGGTGTAGAATGGTGGTTAATGAAGGAAAAATGCGTGGGAGGGAGGAGCTTGGATGGACGAGGCAGTGATGTTGACACACGAGGGGTTACGCAGGAAAGGGGAAATGTCGCGCAGCGTCTGCGCGCTGTTGTTTCCGCAACGGACACATACTCCGATTCGAACAAGTAAGGATCCATCCACACGCCGTGCGTGGTGCTGCTGTTAGTGCTGTTCCTGCAAGCACCACTTGTCTTGCAAAGGGCTATCAAGGACTTGATGTGCTAAGTACTTCTTTTTTCATGGCATTGGCGCGTTGTCTGAGGTCTCGCCTCATTCTCGCTCACTTTGAGAAATGGCTAATGGCGGCTGAATGTCGCATTATCCTGAAGCTGGATGCCTGCTGATTCTTGCATGGAGGGCTTTTGAACGAGCCCCGTCAGGGTTGTGGCTTCCTATCGTACACCGTAGGAGACGCGACTGTGCTTAAATGCTGCGACCGCAAGGTCACGGAAGTTGGGAAGGAAAGGTCAGGGGAAAAGGCCTGATGCACTGTGTACACATACATCAAGTTGTGACTGGATGAGGGTGCCCCGAAATAATACCGGGGAAGGCAGGGTTTCGCAGGGTAGATGCCACGGGCGAAGATACACCCCCCTGTTTCACACATCAAGTTGGGCTTCATGTCGCTGATACCTGATGCTGCCTCTGCTGTTGTGGTGATGCCTAGCTATGGTTAATGCGCGCGGCAGGTGGACATATTGCGGCTGGTTGCCATTTTTTAATGCAGGGCGATGCCCATTTCCACTGGCCGTGGGTTTCAACCACGGCGCATGCATGTTGGCCAGAACGCGTGCCGGTGTCGGAGGGCGTTTCGCCAGAATTTGCGCCAACCAAGCAACCCCTTCCCGGCATTCCCGGAATGGGTGCGCATGTGTGAGCCCACGTAGCATCTGTCATCTCTTGTCTGAGCGTGATGCACGCGCAACACTTCACTGCAGTGGATGACTTGCACCAGCAATAGCCAATCTCCAGGGGGGCCATCTTGGTCCGCCAGGCATCTGCTGACGCGTACATGTGCGAGCGAGGGAACCGGAACTACCTCCATTATTATTAGTTTTTAGTCATTTACCTAATACTAATCAGGGGCTTTGTCGCGCCCTCAACCGGGCTGCCTCAATTTGGCGGCATTTGGGGTTGGGTGTTACATTACCTTACCACACGGGGTGTTGGAGGGCTGACATTCTTTAAGCAAAATGATTTCTTAAACAACGTGGCTATGGACACGTATTCTTTTTTGAGCTCTTATAGTTCGGAGCTATCTGTGGGATGGTTCCTCCTTTTGGCGCCTTCGCGTGTGTTTATGGCTAGTTGTGATAGGGAGCTGCCGAGGGGAGCATCTGCACGCGTGGACATGCTTGTGTCTATTCACTTAATGGTCTACATTTAACTTGAAGCGCGGTAAAGCTCTCGCCGCGGCGGCTAGGGAAACAGTACGGTTAGTGATTTGTGTCCGGCGGTGTAACCCGCACGGCCTTTAACTCGTGCATTGTCGATGTCCAATTGAGTTGCTTGTTAAGGGTTCTTGATTTGCTGCACTGCCATTTCATAGGTAATATCCCCCATGTGGGAAGGCGCCATGAATTGGTGTTGCATAATGCTGTGGCGTGTTGGGTCATTTATGATGTTCTTTCTGTGTGCTATTTTCGCGTGTGCATGTTTTATCGTGTGCGAGTTACGCGGAAGGTGCGTCAAATGGGGCAGAATGTACGGCCTAAATGGGGCAGAATGTACGGCCCAAAACCCCTAGTATTGATAATTTGTGGAGGCCAACATTTGTAAAGGCATTAGCACGGTGACGTCAGCCTTTGTTGGGGCGGCGGAAGTCGCGTTGCGGGCTTTCACATGCCGTATGTGAAATGCAGCGCCACAATTACCTGCTTTCCTCTCCACACCATTGCTTATTCTCCCTGCGTCGCTTTTTGAACAATTTGTATGTGCTTAAGACAACACTCACAGGCAAGAAATGGGCTCGTGTGTAGCGCAGTACAGCGCGCGCCGTCGGTCTTATTTGTGCCATTAAACCGGACGGGCTTTGTGTGTCAAAATTGTTGTGATTCGTTTTCGTGACAGGAACGCCTCCAAAGAAGCATCATATGCCCGTGGTTCTGCTTACAATGACCTTTCCCGCGGACCATCCTTCTTATTCGGGATCTCACTCTCCAAGGCCCCGTCAGCAATAACATGTCCATCAGACGCGCGGGGTTATGGCCACCCGGTTTAGCGGGCGTGATGCGGTGACTGCTCCATGTGGCTGATTGCAGTGTTTTGCTGAAAACAACGCACACTTTTTTGTGTGCGCTGGCTTACTAAGATCCGAAATTCTCCCAGGTCTCCAGAAACCACTTGAGCGCCCAGCCAAGGTGGAGGCAAGAGAGACTTGTTGCGTTTTCAATTTGGAAATATCGGGTTTCGACCTGGCCGATGCACGGGGGCTCTGCAGATGCAATGAACCATGGTGCCCACTAGATAGACTTTCGGTCCGTTTCTCCGGAGTTAATTGGACAGCTGCGGTCCGCCCGCTTAAGATTTGGCGGTAGGTATTTGGCAGTGTGGTACCTTTAGCATGCCTCTCAATGCATCGTCGCCCATTTAGCTACGAAGTTCCTCTGTCGGGGCGGCGTCTCTGCGATTTATTTACACAGAGGCCATGTTGTCATCACACCTGGTTTTCATGGTCTCTGGGCGAAGCTGCGCTTGTCGATAATGAATGTCCTAGGCGGACGTATGTTTTCCCCGCTGCGCTTGCCGCTATTCTCCCGTACCCGCAGGACATGCAAGCGCGTTTTGAATGTCCGTGTCAGTAAATCGTTTCCTTGCTTGCGACACAAGTAAGGCAATTTTGCGGAGAATTTAGTTTCGAGAGAGCGCCCTTCGGCGCTGTGCGCTTTATGAGGCGCGCTGGAAGGACGGGATATTGCGCTCAAGCCCATTCAGCGACTTTACTATTACAGCGAGGTTTCTGTATTCTTAAGATTACAGCGAGGTTTCTGTATTCTTAAGGACAGAATAAGACTCCGCCAGGCGGCATGATTTATGTCATGGGGAGAGACCGGGGAGGACCGAATGACTGTAGCCATATGCAATTACCAAGGGGCAGATTGCATGGTAATGTACGATGTCCTTTACAATTGCGTTACAGATGTTGTTCCGCCTTAGTGACTATCGTTGTGCACCCAGGACCTGCCAAGAATGTTGCAGGGGTGATGTCCCTGATCTATTGTGATGAGAGGACATGCCAGCAGTTGGGCGCGGTATCGGGGCTTTAGGATTATGAAAGAATAAGAACAGTGTTCCATGTCAGAGCCTAACCGGAAACAAACAATCCTGCTCTGTAATGGTATTATCGCTCGAAACAGCTCGAAAGACAGGTAAAAAAACGTTGTTATGAAATGCAGGATAAGCGCTTCAGCGTCAGTAAGGCAGAGGCTATCATTCAAATATTTTTTTTCATGCTTGTGTTTTGGGATTTTTCTAGTCATGCACAACACGGTTGCGTTACTTCTGCTCAGTTTGGCGCGAGACCTGATCGCTGAAATTTTGTTCGCCGGATCTATACACTAGTTTTAAGCGATTTTAATAGATTCAAATATTTCGCAGCCGCAGCGCTGGGCGGCCGCCGGCATCACAATCTTAAAGCACCCTAGGTGCACCTGAAGGTGTCCTGGTTAGGAGTTCTTGCGGCCGATAAACGTCTGACGGGAAGGAGACCTGGGTTTGGACAATACGGTAAAAGCTGGCAGAAGCAAATTCCAATCAGTTGAGCACAGTTTCTGCAATAAAAAGCAGGAAAGCATATACGGAGACTTTTTGGGCGAGGCCCCGGCCGCGAAGCGCCATTCGGGGGGCCGAGCCCCCCGGGTTCACTGCTGTCAGTCAGTCAGTCAGTCAGTGGCTTACATATCTCGCCCCGCAAAAAATAGAGCTTGAATGCTATATCCATTCTATATCGAAATGCCAAAGGAGACATGCCCAATAAATCGGAGCGCGACAAAGATAGCTTTATATGGCACCGAGTTTGACATAAAGTTACATATCTCGCTCCGCAAAAGATTAAATGTAGAAGCTATATCTATTCTACATCCACCTGCCAATGGAGAAATTCCAGATAAATCGGAAGCGTCCCTGCCGGCGGCAGCGGCGGCCGTTGACCAGCCGATCCGCCGCGGCCGCGGCCGGGCCCCCAGCAGAGGGCAG